TTCTATTATATAACATTGTCAACTATTGAGGTTTGGCCCCCCCAAGAAAAAAAAAAAGAAGGGTTAATTAATTAAAAGAAAAAAAAAAAGTTAATTGCTAGGAAATTAAATACGTGTCACTTTCATTTATGGGTTTTAGTTGGGATGAGTTTTGTGGTCAATAGGTTCCGCAGCATCTAAGTCTAACAATTGAATTAATTAGTTTTGCAAACAAATATGGTTTCTTGTTCACACTTATAATTGTGGGCCTTCTCTTTATTACTTTAACACATTATTATTGCATAAACTTTTAATTATTTTTGTTAATCAATTACTACAAAATTATTATTATTATTATTGTTACTTTTGATTATTGTTGTTGTTGTTGTTATAACGTGATAAATTAATAATTCGGTAAGAATGTATAAAATAGTACATATTTAAAATTTATAGAGACCCCATCTAATATATAAATTAATAATTTATAGAAATAACTCTTCAAATACATGATATACATTACATTTATGATAAATATATAAAAACTTACAATATATGTCGATTTTCTTTTTATTTTTTGATGAAGTTGTCGATATTACCTTAAATATCGATCATCCATCACTTTTCTTAATACAGTAAGAAATTATTCGGTGTACTTTTGTTGTTTCAAGAGCTTAAGTACGAGAAAAGGGCTTTATAGTATTGTTTTCAAATTATCATTTTTTTTAGTAATGAAGGAACCCGCAAAACCAACCATATGTATGTATTGGATAAATATACATTCTTGTAATAACTTGCAAACCACAGTAGACTAACCATGTGTGACATGTTCGACCTAGTTAGTGACTGTTGACACAAATTCACTTGCTGAAACCGTTTAATCATCCCTTACAGTAAAAAGTTTCATCTTTATCAGTTGCCCATAATACTCTAAATTATTTATCGATCCGTCAGTCAATTCTATGAATTTACGTTGTTTTCCTTCAAGATAGTTTGAGCTACGTCCGATATCCATTTTTTTTACGATGATTCAACTCATCTCATCGATTATATGTTGCAGTTCTTGGCTAATTAATTTCACTATCTAACTAATTCATGTATATATTTTGAAAATAATAATAATAATCAAAGAATAATAATTTCATAAATTAATAATTATTAATGTATAAAATAATTAATAGAATTATACCAGCATTCAATCGTACACTATTAGCATTAAAAATGAAAACATCAAATACAAATACAACAGAAGGACTAATAAAATCATATCTTAAAGAATTATATTAAAAAAATAGTTATATATATATATATATATATATATATATATATATATATATATATATATATATATAGGAGGATGGCAGTAAGTAGAGCATAACACAACAGAAAAAAACTCCAGCTAAGAGAGAGTTGTCTGTAATGAATTTTGTTCATTAAATCTTCTCACCTGCCTTCATTCATTGCCAGTGATATCACCACCACCTTCTTCTTTTTTATAAATCCCACCTCCTCCTCCCACCACCACCGCCGCCCGCCGCCCCCCTCCCTTCTTTCTCTCTCTAAAACAAAAAACAACAAAGATGCCACAGCTTCTTGTACCGGCCAAGTACGTAAAGCTAGCCTACCAGTACATTGTGAACCACATCCTCACCTTCCTCCTCCTCCCAACAATGGCCGCCGCCGCCGCCGAGCTCCTCCGCCTCGGCCCCGACGAGATCCTCTCCGCCTTCAGATCCCTCCACTTCGACCCGATCCAAACCCTCTGCACCTCCTTTCTCATAATCTTCGTCGCCACCGTCTACTTCATGTCGAAACCCCGGTCAATCTACCTCGTTGACTACGCCTGCTACAAACCTCCGGTGACTTTCCGTGTACCTTTCTCCACCTTCATGGAGCACTCCCGCCTGAATCTTAAAGAAAACCCTAAATCCGTCGACTTTCAGATGCGCATTCTGGAAAGATCCGGCCTCGGCGAGGAGACCTGCCTCCCGCCGGCGATCCACTACATCCCTCCGACGCCGACCATGGACGCCGCCAGGGGGGAGGCGGAGCTCGTCATCTTCTCCACCATCGACTCGTTAATGGAGAAAACGAATCTCAAGCCGAAAGACATCGATATACTTATAGTTAACTGCAGCTTGTTTTCTCCGACGCCGTCGTTGTCGGCGATGATCGTTAATAAGTACAAGCTTCGGAGCAATATCAAGAGCTTCAATCTCTCCGGCATGGGATGCAGCGCCGGGCTAATCTCCGTCGATCTCGCCAGAGATCTCCTTCAGGTGCACCCGAACTCACGCGCCTTGATTGTCAGCACGGAAATCATCACGCCAAACTACTACAAAGGGTCGGAGCGCGCGATGCTGCTACCCAACTGCCTCTTCCGCATGGGCGGCGCCGCCATCCTCCTCTCGAACAAGCGCCGCCGCGACGCGGCCCGGTCGAAATACAAGCTCGTCCACGTTGTCCGGACACACAAAGGCGCCGACGACAAAGCGTACAAGTGCGTGTACGAGCAAGAAGACCCCGAGGGCAAAGTCGGAATCAACCTCTCGAAAGACCTCATGCTGATCGCCGGCGAAGCCCTGAAATCCAACATCACAACCATCGGCCCGCTCGTCCTGCCGGCGTCGGAGCAGCTGCTATTCCTGTTCACACTGATCGGCCGGAAAATCTTCAACCCTAAATGGAAACCCTACATCCCAGACTTCAAACAAGCGTTCGAGCACTTCTGCATACACGCCGGCGGACGGGCGGTGATCGACGAGCTGCAGAAGAATCTACAGCTGTCGGCGGAGCACGTGGAAGCTTCTAGAATGACGCTGCATAGATTCGGCAATACGTCGTCGTCTTCGCTCTGGTATGAACTAGGGTACATTGAAGCAAAAGGGAGGATGAAGAAAGGAGATAGGGTTTGGCAGATTGCTTTTGGAAGTGGGTTTAAATGTAACAGCGCTGTCTGGAAATGTAATCGGACGGTCAGGATTGATTCCGACGGAGATGGGCCGTGGCAAGATTGCATTCATCGCTACCCTGTGCATATCCCGGAAGTAGTCAAGCTTTGATTTTCTTGAAATTAATAAATTAAAATAAAAAGAGAGAAAAAAAAACATGGATTTAATTTTTATTTTTATATATTTATAAATATGCATGTGTTGTATTCATAAAAAATTGGTCTTTGTTTTTTTATTTTAATTAATTCCTGAAAAATAATTAGGGTTTTTTTTTTTTTTTTTTTTTTTGTGTGTGTGTGTGCAAGAAATTAAAGTAAAGAAGACTGCATGCATTTACTCTGCTAGGTTTAATTTGCATGAGGGTTGATAATAATAATATTTTACTTGTAACTTTTTAAATTCTTGTTTTATTTTTTATTTATTTATTTTTATTATTATGTGGAAAATACTAATAGAGACAGGGTTCATACGTACGTAATTCAATATACTACTTACTACCTTGTATTATTTAATTTATGTATGCGGTTGCAGGTGATTTGAATGAATGAATGAATACAAAAATAATAAAATTGAATTGAATATATATTGCTGTGCTGTTGAAATTTGAATATATATAAATATATAAATATATATATATATATATATATATATATATATATATATATATATATATATATATATATATATATATATATATATATATATATATATATATATATATATATATATATATATATATATATATAAAGCTATAGCAGTAGTGCATTTATTATATCGCTATTGATGTATTTTTTTATTAAGCTCGTGGTGTGTTTTGGTGGTGGAATTAACACGCAACACACACACACCCATGTGGGTGGGTGTTGAGCTAGACACGACGAAGTACGTACACTGTAAAATGTGGCATCAAGAAAATGTTAATGCATTGTGTGTGTGTGTTGTTCCAGCTGTAGGTAGATTCAAGAATTTATGAGCAATTTCTACTTTTCATACACTAGTGGATCATATGCATATGTGAGAGAGAGAGAGAGAGAGAGAGAGAGAGAGAGAGAGAGAGAGAGAGAGAGAGAGAGAGAGAGAGAGGAGTAATATTGAAGCATTAATCCAACAGGCAACAACCAATTTAATGGATGTCTGCAAAAAAAAAAAAATTAGAGAGAGAGAAAAAAAAAGTTGGTTTAATTTAAATTGCAGTTAATTTTATTGGATGAGGTGGTGTTAGTTAATTTGCAGTTATGAGTGAGTCTTGTTGGGCAACCATATCTATACTAAATGCTACTATCAGTATCAACACAACCTGATTAATTATCTAATCAAAATTAAATTAGCAATTAAATTAAGATGGAGCCAGCCTCTTAGTTAGTTAGTTATAGTTATGTGTGAAGGAAAATAGCTAGAATGGCATTTGAAGCCCGGCCCGTAAGAGTGTCGATTGTAACGACTCTTACGGTTTTGAGATCGATTGTCGGAATATTTTGAGACCATTATGAGAAGATATGGGAAACAAAATTGGGAAATAATATAGGTGAATGAGAGGAGAGAAAACTAACTTTCTAATAAGAATTCATTTAATTAACCTATATATTTTTTAGGCGTTGCGCGAATTGAAGGTTCTCCGACTTCGCCGTACGTCTTGCGATGCTTTTATCGAGGATTAATGTTTTTTTTAAGCTTCTAGATTTGGTAACATTTCCTTTCAGTTTATATTAAACGTAATGGTAATAATGCTCTTGCAAACGATGTCACAAAGATGCATTTTGATTCTTGTAACGAAGGTCTCGATCTCGTTCAATTCCCTCAAGTTTGGCACACGTTGCGGCCTAATAATAATAATAATAATCTCTCTTTTACCTCAAATTAAATTAAATTAAATAAATAAGAGGTATTATTATACGTGCAAATAGTTTTTGGAAAAAAAATAAAAAAAAAATTGAAATTATTTTTGGAAATCGAAATATCATATGTATTACAATTTCCGATCATATTCGAAAAACAAATCTCTCAGAATTAATCATAGGTTTTGGTGAATATTCGAATTAATATTAACCATGCCAGGTGCATATTTTGTTCTGGTAGCGGATACTTACGTATTTACTAAGATGTAAGAAACATTAATTTCGTTCTAGGCTGATCAAGTGTGTATCGCCCCGCTCGTATATTTCGACGACTTGAAATTTATCAGTTTCTGAAGATGAATAAAACGGCATCAATAGTCTGCGATTGCGATTTTTTTATCCTGAACTAAAGAACCAGCAACAGAGTCTAAAATCAATTCCGACTTCTTCGTCGTATACAAAGAAAATCGCACATCAATAGTCTCGTCACTAAAAAAAACTTATTTTATACAAACCCCTGATATTATAGCAAAACGCCTTATCTTTCATTTGCATCGACACTCGCAAAAATTGAGCGGCCGTATTCTACTAGAAGCAACATACACATGATGAATAAGTTTGTGCCCTAGCTCGAATTCGCTCTCGATTGAAAGAATTATAAACTACTCGACCTCAATGAGTGTTTGTAGACAACTTTTGAGCTTTTCTGGCCTCATAATATATTTTTTGGTGTTTATGACACCAACTTCTATTTTTGCTTCTCTAAAAATAAGCTATTTCAAGCTACAATCTCAAAAGCAGGTTAGACCCAACTTTTTCGGTTGATGGCATTTCTGTAAATAAAATGAAGATGTTTTAAATATTTTAATTCATTTTTACCTTTTTAATTAATTTAATTCATCCCCACGTTTACCCAGCATTACCCTGTATTTACGTCAAAACCATGTCACAAAACACCTCAACCTCCACTTTGTTTCAGCAAGAAGTTCACCGTCACAATCGCAATAGGTATGAACCTTCGACTTTTTCCCAGTGTTGTAGTTTAAGGATTAATAACATTACCAATATATGTATTTTGTTACCCACATGTGTTTTTCCTCAAATACATGTAGCAATTTGGTTTATATGATTTTCGGCTTTCTGATTTCTATATGAATATGGCTAAAATCTTGTTTCACTAATTAAGTTTGTGTTTTGAATATATATTTGATTTTCTTTTGAAACATTTGTCATGATATATTTTAACATGGGTTTTGCATATATATTTTTTGATGTATTTGTGCAATATGCTGCAACTTTTGTGTTTAGCTATGGGAGTCGGTATGAAAGGGATTTTGGGAAACAAGATATAATTTGCTGATCTGTAATCTACACATTAACATTAGTTTATCCAAATTATGGTCTGTTTGATCATTGTCATTCTTTAATGTTAATCTTTGCTTTTGTTTTATCAGCACAAAATAATGTGTGTCTATGTGTTCTTTATTTAATTATTTTAACATCTCACCTACTGTTTATGAGAATCTTTCATCGTATAACGACGAAGACTCGCATTTGATTAATGTCACTAGCCACAGAGTTTGTGTTGGTAAAAACTCTGACTCGGTCAAGGCTAATTGGGATAATAAAACCACAGAGGTATATGCAAGAGGAAACAGAAGAAGAATCTCAAGGTAAACCACTCGAGGGTCTTGAAAGTGGATATCCGCGGTTCGAGCCTCCAATATATACACCTACACCTACTGATGAAACAACTGAAATATCGACTCAAGTTCCAAGAAAAGCACCATGCACCTACTAGTTTTATGAGAAAAAACACTGAATTTCTTAATCGTGTCCGTAATTAAAAGAAAATTAAAGAAGGTCTCTAATGTTGACAAGATTTCAAAGTGTCTCGAGGAGCAAATAGAACGGGACATTACATGCCGCATTACTTCGACTACATCAGTTCATGGTTCTCATGGAAATGACCATGCATCATCTGGATGAAAGAGAACATTTGATTTAATACTCTAGAATTGGATGCTATGTTTCTTTTCTAATCTACTTTCTTGTTTGCTTGGTTTGTTGCTATTTGTTAAGAATCAAACTATTTTGGATGTTCACCTTACTTGGTTTGTTAAGATTTTTTAGGATTTATTTATTAAATGTCAATTTGTCAATTGAATTTATTTTTCCAAGTACTTTCTCTTGTTATTGACAGAATGGATGATACTGGATGATACTGATGATGACTCAAACTCAAACATGGATTCTCTTTCTAAGTCATCAGTAGCCATGATTTAGATTCTTTAAGCAGTAATGAAGAAAAAGAAAGTGTTATATCAATATCTAACAAAACCGAAGCTCAGGTTCTAAATTCAATATGTATCGCAGTCGTATCTTACTGTCAAAACTATTTACATAAAACTCTGTGTCACAATAGAGAGTATAGCGAATGGGCTGCTTTATTGTCTATTTTTAATGAAAATCCTCGACGTTGTAAGGAAAATTTAAGAATGAGAATAGAGACTTTCTTTCTACTTTGTAAGTTATTAGTTGATGAATATGGTCTTGCACCAATGAGAGGAGTTGCAGTTGAGGAACAGGTTGCGACATTCCTTATGTAGTGGGGCCAAGATGTAGAAATAGACGGTGTCAAGAAATGTTGCAAATGTCTGGATCTATAATAAGTAGATCATTTCACAGGGCTCTAATATCATGTACATTGATGTCCATCGACTGGGTTATTCCATTCACAGATAACTTTGTCACTCATAAGTACATTCGAACTAACAAGAGATTTTATCCTCACTTTAAGGTAATTTTGTTTGAAATAACGTTTAAAGTAAATCTTTCAGTTAATCGTTAGTACTTGTTCTTTATTTCTAAGCGACTAATATATTTATTTTATTAAGGATTGTATTGGAGCAATTGACGGAACCCACATTAAGACTGCGCTTCAGATGGAGCAACAAACTCCATTTATTGGAAGAAAAGGAACTCCCACTCAAAATATTATGGTCATATGTGACTTTGATATGTATTTCACGTACGTATTACTAGGTTGGGGGGGAAGTGCGCACGACACGCGAATATTTTATGATACTATCAGAAATCCAGAAAAAAAAAATTCCAATGCCACCCCTTGGTTTGATTATTTTCAAGCTCATATTTTTTTATACATTTTAGTTTATCTGTGTAGTGCATTCATTATATATGAGTATTCTCTAATATTTGTTTAGGTAAGTACTACTTGGTTGATGACGGTTATATAAATATATAGGATTTCTTGCACCATACAAAGGCGATATTGTCATCTTCCAGATTTTCAATGAGCTATTGCATATACTAATCAGTATAAAGTGTTCAATCATTTGCACTCATCACTAAGAAGTACACTCGAAGGAACATTTGGGTGCTCGTAAAGAAAGATTTTATACAATAAAAGATGTACCCGCAATATTCCTTGGAAAGACCAAGTAGCGCTTGTCCCGGCTACAATGACAATCCACAATTTTATTCGTAAAGTCGACGCATTAGATGAGGATTTCTTACAATATAACAATGATCCAAACTATTTGCCAAAGGACTGAAGAACTCCTCGAGCTAATGCCAATATTTATGGACCATTTGGGCGTCCGTAATGGTGGAATGAACAAAGTTAGAGATGATATTTGTACTTCTATCGCATTTTCTAGAATTGGATAACATATTCATTAGTAGTTAGGTGTCGTTATGTTTTTATTTTTGGGGCTCTTTGAGAAAACCCCCTCACTACTTTTTTTAATTGAGGGAGGCCCAAAATATTTTAGTCTATTTGAGAAAAGTCCACACCCATTTTTAGCCATTATGTTTTCCAGCTTTACCCCCACCCGCCACCTCATCACAGCTGGGCACGCGCTCCAGTGATTTTTTTTTTTTTTTTTTTTTTTCAGTTTTTTTAATCGATTATGAAGCATAGTCGATTAGTCTTAAATCGACTATGTTTCATAGTCGATTAAGGAAAATCTGTAATTTTTTAATTTTTTTTTGTTTCTAATATTGTTTTTAAATATTTTTTGGTTTTTTTAATTTTTTTCTCTATCAGGTTTATTAATGCATAGTCGATTAAAATTTTAGCTATTAAAAATAACAAATCACAATTAAAAAAAATATACAAAATCAACTATATTTAAAAAAATATATATACAAACATTGTAATTGATTTATACATTGGAATCAATAAACAAAAAATCAAAAAAAAAAATTAACAACTAGAGTCGGTTAACCTTAATCGACTACTGAACATAGTCGATTAAGCCTTAATCGACTACTGAACATAGTCGATTAAGCCTTAATGCTCTTATGCCACGCTCCCACCACCCCAACATCCAAAAAACGCCGCCATAACCATCACTACCACACACATATATAATTCAGAAATCACCGACCCCAATACGCCGTCGTCGCTCGACGAAGTCGAATCTAGGCTCAGAGCGCTCAAACTGAAGTACAACAAAGACACCCCGAACCCTAATCTGAAGAATGCGGTGAAGCTCTACCTCCACGTCGGCGGCCGCACCGAGAAATCCAAATGGTGGTGGTCGAAAAGGTCGTTTCTTACTCGTTCGTCAAGACGGCTTCCGATGGTGGAGAGGATGACGATTCCGACGAGGAGGAAGGACCCGACCCGAATTCGTGGTGGGTTCTGAAAATCGGGTCGAAAGTGCGGGCGAAGGTCGACGAGAATTTGCAGCTGAAGGCGTGTAAGGAGCAGAAGCGCGTGGACTTCGTAGCCAATGGGGTTTGGGCGATTAAGTTCTTCAGCCAGGAAGAATGGGATCGTGTGTAATTTGTGTGTGTGTGTGTGTGTGTGTGTGTGTGAGAGAAAGAGGGGAGAGAGAGAGAAAAGAGATAAGAGTGAGAATGTGACGTGGGTTGATTGGGGGAAGAGGATAATGGCTTTAATTTAGGGGTGGTTTGGGAATTATTAAATAATATTTGGGTAAAATATTGGGTAAAGGGGTTTTCTCTAATTATTTATGGGAGGGGGGTTTTCTTAACTCATTTACCTAGATGAGGGGGGTATTGCTAATTATCCCTTTATTTTTTTATTGTTAAGACTTCAGACTATTCTATTTGAATATATAAATTAAAATATTCATCAACAATTATTAACTTTTTGATAGTAATCCATCGTACTATAGAAATCTAAAATAAGAACTTGTAGAATTCATGATGTATACCATTGAAAAAAATTACAGAAAATTGATTATAAATGAATTAATTTATATATTTATTTGCGTATTTATAAGGGTATTTAGGACATTTTATAAATAATAAGTTGAAATATTAAGTTTGTTTACAAACACTACAACTTTTGAATTAATTGTTTAAAGTTGATTTTATAGGTCTTTTACAAACACCCACAACTTCGTAAATAAGTGAATCTTTAGAGCTTAACTCATAATCACAAACTTCTATTCATAATCACAAACTTCTGATTTTACATAAGCATTTGCAAACACCCCTAAGGCTTGGGTCGATTGCTTATCAAATGTAATAAAAAATTGAAAATCCGATTGCTTATGGAAAATTGTAAGACCAATTATGTATCACATTTTTGTACACTCTTTCATGAAGGGCATATATGTAAAAATACAAAATAACATTAGCTCTGCTCTAATTTAATTTCTGTCTAAGAGAGCGGAAAAAAAAAGCGAAAAAACAGGAAAAAAAAAAAAAAGAATTAATTAAACGGTTGATCTCAGCCGTAAAAACTGATCATCAATCTCAATCTCGCGGATGAGGATAATCAAGCCCTAGCTCCATTCCACAAACCCCAGCCGATTTACAACCAGCTTCGCTCGGCTTCAACTCTTTCGGCTTCGGACAGCGTTTAATCGGCTCGAATCCCAGAGTCAGATCCAGCTCAATCTCTTCATCGTCGTCCGTACGATCAGCTTCCGGCTCGGCGGTCTCAGCCGAGCCAAGACTCTCGCTCCGCCGTCGCCGCCTCTCCACCACCAGGTCTGCCGCCTCGGACTGGTGGCTCAGCGACGACTCATGGCTCGGCGACCGGTCCACCTCGTTATTAACGCACTCTTCTTCAACCGAACCGGCACAAACCCGACTCCGCTTCGATTTCGCCCCGGATCGCTTGAATCGACGAGACCGGGTCCTGACCCGGTGGAGATCGTCCGACCCGGATAGGTTATTATTATCCTCCTTGCTGACGTGGCGTATGTCGTAAGCCTTGAGAGGCGGCCCGTTTTTCTCGACGGCAACGTCAGTGGCTATTTGGGTAATCGGAGCCCCGTTTAGAACCGCCTCGACCGCGCTCTGGCAGAGGTGCCAGGATCCGGACCACATCAACCCGACCGACCCGAATATCGGGTTCACTATCCGCCCGCAAGCCTCGTACAGCATAGACCTAAATATAGCTGCAAATATATATTAAACCAATCAGAAATCAAATTTAAAAATTCAATCGATCAGAAAAAAAATTGAGAGGCGGCGGCGGCGGCGAACCAGGGCGGAGGTGGTCGGGGCCGGCATTGATGAGGTTCATGAGGCCGGCGCGGCCGTAGAACTTGGCGAGGAAGACGGTGGCGTTGGCTTGTGATTCGGGGGTTTTGATCCAATCCAAACAAGGCCTTATGCTGCAGCTCTCGCTGCAGCCTTTTCTCAACACTCGGCATCCGTTACAACTCATCCGCATTTCTTCGATTAAAATTCGAATTTCTGTGATTAATTAGGGTTTTGATAAAATTTTAGAGAGAGAAACAAACAAACAAACAGACGGTTAATTATAAGAAGAAGAAGGTGATATATAGATACATATGTGTGTATGTATATAATTGATTAATAATTAATAATAAAATAGTAGAGAGGGGAAGTGGAAACAAGGTTTGAAGTGGGGGTTTGGTAAAAACCAGGTCTGCCATATTCATGGAATTGGGAGGTGTATCGCTACTGGATTTCATTTTTAAATATTATTAAATCTATGGTTTTATCTAATCAGCTATAAAATGTCAAACCCCGTGAACATTCAAATCTTTAACCAACGGTCTTCAGCCCACTTTCGTAGCAAGCGCGTCGGAATCACTGCCCATTTTCTATTTCAGTTTTGGCTATCGGTGAAAGTCTGATCAGTTAAATTCATTTTTATTTTGTACAAATTCTAATATTGAAGTTTTTGGAATTCGTAAAATCAATTTCATTACTGAAGATTCGGAATTTCGGTGACTACATGAGCTTCAGTTTTTCGAAAAGTTATGTTATGAATGAGCCCAAGAAATGTGTGAGTTTTCGTGAATGAGATCGAAGAAAGATCTAGGATTTTTTTTTGTGAATGAAAATAATATAGGGGGAAAATGTAGTTCGTTTTTTACTAAAAATGACGCATAAGTAAAATAAATTAATATTGTTTGTAAGTATATTTTCGAAAAAGTGGAATTTTTGGAATTACTTTGAAAATTAAAATCAAATGAGACAAAAAAAATCAACTATTTTATATACATTTTCAATTTCAATCCAAAAAACCGAAAATTTTGATTTCGAATTTCGGAACAAAATCATTATTTCAAAATTCGATATTACATATCCCAATTTATATTTAGAAGTGTGATGATTTTCCAGTCGGCCTATAATAACAAAATAAAAATGTATTCTTATTACAAATATATTCGATTCAGTTCAGCTCGATTATTGGCTAAAATCAAGCTACGAACCAAACATATAATTTTATAATTATCGAATAGAGAAAAATAAAAAAAAAAAATTATAAAATAATGTACAAAAGAATTTTTTTACAGTTGCAAAACAAAAAAAACTACAATTTCTCATAAATGTTTTAAAAGAAAAATACAGAATATTAGCATGGGAAGCGGCTATAAGTAGAAGGAGCGCGTGGGAATCTGTCAGAGTCCCATCGAGTCGCTACATATCGTGAAAGTCGAGGTCTTAAGCGGGCCCCACTTCAGCTTTCTCCTGGTATTCTGGAAAACCGCCTGTTCGAAAACAGGTGGCGGGTATACGGTTTTGTGGGGGGAAGTGGTATTAGGACGGTGTTGCTGGTTTTAGACCATTGGGGTTTACCGGCTACCGGCAGAACGGGTCCAAAATCCCCTGTTCGCCACATCACTTGACCAAAAAATAATAAAATAAATTATCTCAAGCTTATCATAAGATTGTAGAGAGGTCAATACCATACGGCTGCATAATATAATTCATTCTTACAAATTACAAGCAACTACAATGCCAAAGGAAATGTATTAGTGGCATACTTTACATGTGGGGCTGCCGATGATAAATTATTAAAGGATAAATTACAAACACCCCCTGAGGTATTGTCAAATTACAAAAATACCCCTCTTGTTTGGATAATTACAACAACCCCCTCAACTCATCAAATTTAGTGGAATATTCGAGATTATATAGAATATTATCACTTTTGTACCCGTTTTATCCCATTCAAACTCCACATTATGAAGCAAGATGATCATAATATGTGACTTTTAGCTTGTATATATCAGTTTGTGGTGCATCGGAAACTGTATTTTTTACATAAAAAGAGTACAAACTAGAGCACATTTCACGGAATCTAGATGACTATGTTGAATTTGGCACCATAAAGGTGGAGGTCTAAGAAAAAATCATAGTTAAGGGGGTAGATGTAATTATCCAAACAAGAGGGGGATTTTTGTAATTTGATCATACCTCAGGGGGGTGTTTGTAATTTACCCATTATTAAAATTTAAATCATAGACACAAATTCATAGAAATGAAGCCATAGGCATAAGAGCAACTCCAATCCACAAATATTAAAATGAATTATCAAATATTTATTTGATATTTTATATTTTAGTTTGATACATAAATAAATTTATTTGCTCCAACCATAATTATTAAATAGTTGCTAATTAAAAATAAATAATGTGATTATATATTTTAATTAACACATGTCATTTTCTTCTAATTGGTTATTAAGTTGGTTAAGTTATGTAACTTCCAATTGATATTATTTCTTCCGGATGTATTTGTACATCCCAAAAATTAAAATATCAAAATAGAAACTCATTTGATAACTCCACTGGAGTGAGAAATTTCTAACTTCAATTATCAAAATGGTAATTAAGCGTTTTGATACCCCATTTAATAACTTCATTGGAGTTGCTCTAAGCACGAATTGTCTGAGTACCCTAATATTGCTTGAAAGCACAAAGTAGCTTGGTTAAGCGGTCTACTTGCGAGGCTAAAGTGCAAATGGTGAGTACAAATTAGCTGACGAGATGATTGGCCCACGAAACTAATCATAGATTACACAAAATAATATAAATTAAACACTTTTAGAGTTACATATCTAACATATAGTCACCTAAACAATTTATAAATTACTATTGATCTTTTCAAATTTTACAAAACTCTTCAATGATTGTATCATTATTAATTATTGTCGCTATATGCTAAATAGTAAATAATATAAAATAGGCAAGCTACACAAATAAATAAGCTATTGAATAACGTGATTTTGGTTTTTTAATTGAGAGTCGGTTGAAATTCACCGCCCGCCTAGGCCGTTGGCCTGATATGCTTCTATAGAATAGAGGTTACATAAACTGGCTCGACATAAGTTTTTGGTTAGACTTTAATCTTTATAGACTCATGCCTACATTAATGTGTACAAATTAATATCGTTTGATTAGTTATTTATATCAATTAATTGAACGTTATCATTTACGTTTAAAGATATTAAAGTAAGTTACTTTTAATTTCAACAAGGTGCTGTGGTGTAGTGGTTATCACGTCAGTCTTACACACTGAAGGTCTCCAGTTCGATCCTGGGTAGCATCAAATTCTTTTTTGAATAATTTATTTATTAAGCACATTTGCTCTTTATCATTTTCTTGCACAAAAACAAATGAAAGACCATACTCCATCCACTATTAAATCTAAACAAATCGAGTTCGAATAACTTAAGTTTTTGATGTAATATTTTTTTTGTTCTTATCAAGTCGAGCTTCATATTTTCTCAAATGGAACAAGACCAACAAGACGTAATTCAATTTTGCTATCAAATTTTTAAAAATTGTGTTTGAGCTTCGTTAAAGGCTTGTTTGAGCTTTGATTTAATTATTGACCAAGTTGAACTTGAATTGACTTTAATTAAGTCGTAACAAATCATTTTCGAGTAGCTTTAGTTTTTTTATCTACTATTTTATTTTGTTCCAATCTAGTCGAGCTTCATCAGGGGCGACCCAAGCTTGGCTTTGGGGTTGCCGCCCCTGCAGATTATATATATATATATATTTTTTTTTTTT